CCTAACCTTACCCGTATCCCACCTTAATAGCAGCAAAAGTGTTTTGCAATACAATATGAACACAATAAGTACATTGTACTTAATTTTTGATGTAAGTACATAGTAGTTAAGGCCATTTAATATAAAGTGGGGCCAAAATTGTTTTCATATTTGTGTGGAAATGGCGTGGCTTCCTCCCATTGACAGACAGGCACATGACACGCATGCACAATTTATTCCCCCAATCCACTTCAGTGCAAACTTCGCCCCACAGCTGATTCTAAAGATTTTATTGGTTGTGTCAATTAAAGTGTTGATTTCCTACATTATGCTACAAAAAATGCTAACCCCTAAACCTACCCCACACCTGACCCTAACCTTAACCAGTGAAATTGACTGCACGGCGGGATTGGCGCTGAATAGCGTGGTAAAGAAAGATGCAGTTCAGGAGATAAACAGTTAATAAGATTATGCGATATGAGATCGTTCCGTAACTCCCCAACTGGACCTCACCGGACAATGGCACCTTTTTAGTTACACCCAGCATCACTACCCCCTCCTACCCTGCGAATTTCGAGCCCCGGGACGCCCCAGTTGCTTAGAACAAAGCAATAGAGTAAAATCTTTCCCCTGCGCTTCGCTGGGACGGCTTGCGGGAGAGCTTGTGGGTGATTCCTAGTTATATCATTAAGCAGATGTTCAAACTCCAGTCCGAACACCACTGGCCACAAGCTTTGGGCTCTGCTCTCACGGAGAATATTTATTTATATAACATATTTTATTTTAGATCAACTAGAAACAATTTATACGGCGAGCGACGGTTGGGCTAGTTTGTTTGGTGTGTTCCACTCGTTGGCTCTCGTTGGGCTCACGTCGGCGGCAGTTTGCCCGATTCAACATGTTGGGACCGTCGGCGCGAGTGAGAGCTCTGATTGGATGTTCAGTTTAACGAACGAGTCAGTGCCCGAGAATTAAAGAATTAAAGAATTTCACACAAAAAGTGATGAAAACAAGCACGTAAATGAAGGCAGTACAGACAGAAGGCTGTTAAAATGTTACGTGATCTTTCCCAATCATTCTAATACGCGAATGTTTTCATAACCTGTTGAATCGACGTGAGCCGACGAGTGGAACACACCAAACAAACTAGCCCGACCGTCGCTCGCCGTCGGCCCGACATTGGCCAACGGCCGACTGTCGGCTTGGTATGTCCCGGCCTAAAGTAAACACACCTAAACCAGCTCAAATAGAAACTTCAAAGCAGGAGTGTTGGGTAAACTGATACTATATTCTGTAGGATGTTGGCCTTTCAGGAGCAGGACTGGACACCCCTGGCTTAAAGCCTCTGGAATGAGAATAGGGACTCAATGGATCTTCTTCTCTTTGCTTGTTATGAGTTGGTTTTAACCTAAAGCTATTCATAACAAGTCCCTTTATGCTCATTGTACACAAACAAATTAAAACAAATAAAAGAAAAATATTTCAAGGTTATTTATTTTTTTATTTATGTGTAATGATTTAGCATTCAAAATAGGGAATAGGGAATGGGAATGAGGAAAAACTATTCCTTTTTTATTGCATTGTCTGACAAGTTTGAATGTGCAGTCGTGAATGAGATCTAAGAGTTGTTGAGTGATGAGCTGTTACTATAATGCTTAATGTTTTTAATTGTTTTGAAAACACATTTTTTAATTCAACACCTCACACAAAGTATCTTCCTGCCAAGCTCATGCCAGTAAATCTAAGCTAATAAATGTGATGTAAATGTACACATTCTTTCCCATATAAGTTGTAAATGAAAAACATGAGATTTAGTTATTTACTAGTTGTCGAAATACCACAGAAATGCAGATGTACAAAATAAGATTATTTATACTACGAATAGTACTCATATTTGTGATTCCGAAATTTCAAGCTTCTTACCAAAACAGTTGCATCATACTTTTAATCAATAAATATATCTAAACAGATTTACATTTACAAATATAGCTACTATCAGCAATACGGGGCCAAGCCCCGAAGGTGCAGCAAGCATAGCAACCACTGTTACTGCAAGCACAGCATGTACAGCAAGCATAACAATCACAGCAAACTCATCAAAGCAAATTACACTTAACAGTCAAAAGCTTTACAATGTGCATCTCAAAAGCACAAAACACTCTTAAGATATTGTATATAAAAGCACTGCATGTTATGTGCCACATGGGATTCAAACATACGACCTGAAAGGTTCAGGACCAGTGGCTTAACAGAGTGCGCTACTCAGTTGACACACATTCAAGAGGCTGCCGAGGAGAGCTTTCAGTGTTGGAATGCGCACACGTAACCATTACTTAACATGTTGTCCAAATTAGCATGCTAAGCTACCTAAATGGTAACGTAGCTTACAGTTGACCTGATAGCTGAAGTGCTACATTAGAAAGAATGGCAACCAATTAGCATGCTAACCAATTTGCATGATAAGCTAACTAGCATAAGTCGACAAACACAGGCACGATCAACTTCTTTGAGGTATTTCTTGGAAACAGAAGCGAATATTAAAAATCCGTTGAGTCATTTCTGTGTGGCTCGGTCCAAAGATCATCTCAGGTAAACCTCTGGGACATGCTGTGCAGATATGCCAAATTGTTCAAAAGATATTGCAACTTATTACAAATTTCAAAATGGCAGATAAGCGGTTGATCAGGTCCTGGCAAAATTGGTATCACCTGATTCAGCATGACCCAAGGAATCCATAAATATCAAGGTCATTATTTTCTGACAAACTGTTCTAAGAAAAAAATGTGTATATATTTTTTTTTATCTCATGACCCGTAGGTGGCTCTGTTCCCAACTTGGGTATGTAGCCCTCAGATCATGGTGCTGATGAAACATACAAAGTTTCGTTTCAATTGATCAAAGTTTGGCCAAGATACAGCCTTTGAACCAATTTTGGGTCAACATTGTTAAGTTTGCAACACTTGTTTTGCAACTTTTGAACTAAGATGTATATCAAAATTCTGCTACTACTGTGTATACTATAATACTGTACTTTTCAAAATGGCCACTACTCTCAATGTAAGCTACTGAATGTGATCAGCATGAGGAAAATAATCAGGTGTACTAAGTTTCATTTTTGTAGAATAAATGGTTCAAAAGTTATAACCTTTTGAAAAGTGAATATTTGAACTGGTGGTGGCGCTATAGAGTTGGTCCTATGGACCTCAAAGTTGGTCAGATCAATATTCATGACCATCACAAGTGTGCCATTACTTACGGTTCATAGGTCAGAGGGCTGCAATAGACACCCCTTCGGTGCTTTGCCCCTAATAATAAACCATGACAAGTCAGACTGCACATAATCAGCACTTTAGGTTAGTTTTCACCAAATGCAGAGAAAAAAAAAAAAAGGAAAATCACATATTAAACATTTGAACATGTTTGGTTTTCTAATATGATTCAAAATAATGTATTTTAACATCAGTAAGATGCCACAGGTTTTTGAACAGTTCTCCAATAGAAACAACAAGGATTTTACAACAACCTAATAGTAACAGACTGATTTTACTTCTGTAGAAAAAAATTAATACAAATAAAATAAATAATAAATAGACAAAAGATGGCAAGTGAAAGTAACGGTAGTCTTAGATAAATTTTTTGAATTCTTTTTTCAAGACCAGATTTGAAAACATATTCCATTTTTGCAGTGTTTGTGTTCTGGTGTATACTCTTTCGGTGTGTATAGACATCTATGTTGAGGGATGCACAGCTGAGGCACTAGGGGCAGTCAAGGGTTCAGTCTGTAGGGGGCGGCTCAGAATAATCTCCTGCAGCAGAACAGCATTGGTCTCTTTCCACTCCCTGAATTTACTTGCAGTGAGAGTGGAGTCAGCCACCACCTGCTCCAAAGTCAGTAGATCTGCTTCTTTAGCCTAAATGAAACAAAGATAATTTTTATTTAAAATTAGTGGTTATCAGTTGGTTGCATGAAAATACAGTGTATTTATAGCAAATTATAAACACAAAATTGCTGAAATGAAAGTAATATTCACTTCATATTACATAATATTTTCAAAAAATTACTAAAAATATGCTTTATTCATCCAACTGTGTTGGATTTTGGAATTGACATAGTTCTGCCAAATGTCAATAACATCAAATTTCAAATAATATTTTATCAATTTGCAGCTACCACTAAAAATCATATAAAGACAGTAGAGATATGGTGTATGTTTAATACTGTAAAGATGTTTGCTTTAAATAAATCTATTGTATAAATTGATACATAAATGACGTGACTTGATATGACTGGAGTTCTGAACTGCAGAGCTTGTGAACATATCTACGTCGCTATGATCAGATGCTTGTTTTCTCAAAGCTGTCATCTTTGTTGTGTTTATTAGGGTGGCTTGAGAAAGCCAACCTACTGAAATGATATTTAAACTTATGATTCTTTTTCTGAGACTAAAATTTATATACGCTACTCCTCCTAGAGCTTTCAAGCTAGAGTCAACAAACTCAGGTCAGATCTTCAGACTGGTCTGACTCAGGTTGCTGCATCTTTTCTAACTTCAGACTTATGGATTTCCAAAAATGACAATCAAAACTGTAAAAAATCCCATAGTTACTTCGACGGAATGATCAAATGAGCCAAGACTTCAATTGTCAAAATTCAAATGTAAACATACTGAAGCCCATTAGACTCAATCAAAGTCCCTTTAAGGCAAGTCATGTCACTCGGCAGCCATTTTGAAACGCCTCTCGGACATTCTCTTTGAATGGGGAAACATCAAATTCTTCAAAACTGTTCGCCATGCTTAAGATTAAATTTCATATTTGAAATCACCAATGAAATCTGACAACAACTGTCTCATAAATGTTGTTTCTTTTGCTCAAATAGCGTTAAAAAAAGCTTATTTTTCAGGCTAGACCAGCCAGTGGATTAGAATTAGTATGTCCCAAATCGTAGTATGTTGAAATGAGTATTCCAAAGGTAGCCGGATGGTTTACTGCTTCCGGTAGAAATTCGAAGTGCAAATCCATGCACACTCTAACGGCTAACATTACCCACAACACATTGCGCGGTGGACAAGGATTAGATTAGAACTACAAACACGCATGAAAAGTGTTAAAAACTACAAAAATGGTGGATATGCGAGACCAACAGACAGGTAGAGAAAGGGGTTTGGGTGATAAATAACCAACATCTAACCTGCTGAAAAAATATTTATTTAATGTTATCAGCGTTATATTTCATCTGCAGCAACACTGTGAACTTTATAATGATACGTTTGGTCATTAACTTTTAAATGCATCATTATGCAAACATATGAGCAGAGTTCTCAGCATGATAAACCCGCGACTGGCAGATCAACGTGCCTCTTCATTTCTCTCCAATGCAGTAGGAAATTAAATTAAATAAAATATGGATAATGTTAACTTTGACAAGATGATTGACAGTGCAGTTTAAATGGTGACAGGATGTACAGTCATGGCCAAAATTTTTGGCAGTGACATAAATTTTGTTTTTTGCAAAGTTTGCAGCTTAAGCTGTTGTGGTGTTCATTCACATTGTTTCTAGATTATTGTGTAGAGTGATCAGATGCATTTTAAATAATTGCTAAAAGCTTTATTGTCCAGAAAAATCAACTTTTCACAAAAAACAAATTTCACAGTTTTTTGATCCTGACACAAAATGACCTGCTAACATTGACTAATCATATCAGCAGCACATGTGAAAGTGTGAATGAGTACTAGTCAGGTTAATTACTATCATACTAATTAGATTATAAGAGCAGACTGATTGCTATAATAGGAGGGAAGAAGCACTTCCAATCATTGTGTTCTTATTAGCAATGGTTTCCTCCAAATAAATGCGTGCAGCCATCATCGCTTTGCATCAAAATGGCCTCACATGCAAGGAAATTGCTACAAAGAATATTGCACCTGAAAGAACCATTTACCGGATCATCAAGAACTTCAAGGAGAGAGGTTCAACTGCAGTGAAGAAGTCTTCAGGACGTCCCAGAGTGTCCAGCAAGCGCCAGGACCGTCTCCTCCTGAGGAGTCAGCTACAGAATCGTGTCACCAGCAGTGCAGAGCTTGCTGGGCTCTCTCATAATTCTGCCCAAAAACACTGCCATGAATAAAGAATGGTATCAAAACATCCTGCAAGAGCGACTTCTTCCAACGATCCATGAACAGTTTGGTGATGATCCGTGCATTTTCCAGCATGATGGAGCACCATGTCACAAAGCAAGAGTGATAAAGAAGTGGCTCGAAGATCATTACATTGAAATTTTGGATCCGTGGCCAGGCAACTCCTCATATCTCAATCCCATAGAGAACCTGCGGTCAGTCCTCAAAAGGCGAGTGGACAAGCAGAAGCCCACAAATTGTGATCAACTCCGAGAATGGATCGCCATCAGTCAGGATTTGGCCCAGAAGTTAGGCCCAATCCCAATTCTACCCCTTAGCCCTTCCCCTTTCAATTCGAGAGAGAGAGAGAGAGAGAGAGAGATGAAAGTTGCATGTATGTGCGTCTGTGCATTTCTCTTTTTAGAGTGAGTTTACTTAAAAGGGGATTTTTCAGATCCTCCGCCGCAATTTGCCGGCCCCATGATCACTCCTTCTCCGCCAGACAAGGCCGCCGAGTACCAGGCTTCATCGCGCACCGCAGCGCCGTACGCAGCCGGGCCTCCAGCTCTCTTAGCAGACGCTAGCTCAAGGCTTCCTCCGCGAACAGCGCAGGCCGTGTTGCAAATTAATAAATTTTCAGGTGAGCTGCTAAAGGTTTTCGTGGCTAAAGTTTGTTAAACGACGTTATGACATAAACGGATGTTGATGCCATTTTGTAAGCACGAAGCAAACGTTTTTTTCCAAAGTTTATCATCCACACTGAAATGTCTGAAAGCGTTACATTCGCCTTACTGTGCATGTATAAAACCTCACTGAGATGATACAGACGGAACAGACATAATAAATTTCACGTGTTTTGCCGCAGGACAGCAATCATGAGTACATTTTCTGTCGTCTTTTTAGGTCTGTAATATAAAGAGCGTGCAAAGTAAATATCTTTAGCAACAGTGTGAAAGTGAATAGCACATAACTGCAAAATAAGCCTTACCGGTATAAACATGTCTATTTGTACAATGCAGTGTTGCCAGACATACGATAATTATCGTATTTGTATGGTAATTTTGACCTCTGTACGATGTACGATCAATAGCGTGAGGCTGTCTCCGCTAATGGCGCAGGCCCCGACGGCCGCCATTCCCCCTCTCTTCCCCTCCTTTTCTTCCGCTCCCGCTCCCGGAGCCGTCCCAAGTGTGAGCATGCCTCCGCTAATGGCGCAGGCCCCGACGCCCGCCATTCCCCCTTTCTTTCCCCCTCTTTTTTCTGCTCCCACTCCCTGA